TTGTTGTTCGTTGCAAAGGTTTCACTTTTTCGATGGTATATTTCCCGGGGGATGGTATCCGAAAGGGTTTACCGCCAAGCGCATGGTATCCAAAAGGTTTTCTCGCCATATCTGCATAATCGACAAGTAACAGTACCGGTGCACCGGGTCAGAACCTGGCGAGTAGCCAAAGCCAAAGTCCATTCGATTAGCATCCCTCTGTAGGATTGCCCTTGTTGAGAATACTTGTATCATACGAGTATTCAAGCACATACCCGCATGCTTTCACGTTGTACCGATGAGCGTTGTTCCACAGCGGGAGAACTTGAATGATCCGCCGGTGTGCTATGCCGTTGGGCCTTCCTCTCTTAGTATGGTCAGAAAACCTTTTTTTTTTTCTGTCTTGGAAAGGGGTTGTGTGTTTTTGCGGTGTTTTCTGTTCCCCGCTTTCCAGAGAAGGAAATTTTGGACTATGATACGTGGGGCACCCGTCCAACCGTCCAAGCTCTTCCGGAAATTACATACGCCGCGCTGCGATACTGGGCGTGGGAATGGGTCCCGCTTTGACAGCTGCGGCTTAGAGGCCTAAATTTTGGATTTCAAGGTTGCTTGCGTGCGAGTGCTTGGCTGGCGTTGTGGTGTCTTAGGTTCGGTAAGAGACTTTAAGGTAAATTTTACTACTGGCATATTACCCCAGCAGCCATACGGTAATTGAAAGATTGCAGCCCCGGTACGGAGAGGGTCGGGATACTGATGTGTACCTGGAGATACGACCGCTGCGTCCATCTCTGAGTGAATGCAGCTGATTTTTCCTTACGGTCTTGTCCGTTCGAGTGAGGCTGGGCTTAGGGCTATTCCACCTCAGTACCAGCTTCACAATTTACAGTATCACTGATACCTTTAAGAAGTGCTTCTGAAACCGGGACGTTTGCTTAAGGCTCGCTACATTCGGTCAGGGCTTGCTCACGGGTCCTGGCGGGGTAGGGAGATATGACTGCATTCATCTTAAACCGATAAGGACTGTAGCGTATGACGTTCGGACCCTGATAGGAAAAAAAATGGTGACCCACATCTCAGTTTTTTCCTTTGTCTAGGTGGTGACGATTCTTGGAACAAAGCATACCTCACCTCCTCCCACGATATCGGAAAAGGAGGCTAACGGTTCAGGATGTGGGGTGCACACTACCCGGTTTTTCTCGCTTCATCTGATACCCGATTACCTGCGATTAGCGAGAAATTCGATTGCTAGAGGGGCCTGTTAACCTTCAGGACGGGGCTAATTTTACCGGCCGACCTCGACCGACACCTTTCCCATGCTCGAGTTCTGCCCGGTCGCTGGGATCGCTGTTCTGGGCGTTCGAGATTACCCCATCGCATACCGGTGGCTCATAGAGCGGGTTTGGGCACCTGTGGGACAATAAAACCGGGTTGCAGAAGTTTAC